TAACTGCTATCAGAATCGTGGATTTACGGCGTTTTGATGTATCCACGGAGTTAACTTTTTGCAATTGCGTCAGATGAACAACATAATTAGGTCATTAAGATTCCGACAGTTTTTGCAATTATTAGGCCAAATTCTGTGATTTTAAAAACAGGAAGAAAAGTGGAACGCGCAGTCTGAGAATTTAGAATTTATAATCGTCTACTCTCTCACATATTTAGCACATAGTATACGTTCTGTTCGCATTAAAATTTTATTTTATTCTATAAATGTTTTTTCTAAAAAATTTATTTAATTCTATAAAATTAAAGGACGTCACGGTTTAGGATATTATATAATGCAAATGAAATTTAAAAGTAATTAAGTGTTAATTAAGCGAGATACGTAAAATAGATCTAGGAATGGAGAAATTCAGAATTCAGAAAATTCGAAGCAAATTTGAAGATGAAAAAGAAAACACGTAAATAAATAAGAAGGATAAAGATTATATCAGATTTACGATCTCGGGAATGCCGATAGAGTATTAGAGTATTCAGAACTGACGAAAATGCGTTGGCTGCACATTATAAATTCTTAATCGTACTACTGCAAGCTGTACAGTTCCATCTAGTTAATCTTTCATTTTAATAATCACTGATTCTTTGCTACTTTGATGCGCGATTATCGCCAGTTCAGCAAGCAATCAGAAAATTTATAAAACTCGCATGGATCACGGCGCAACTGTTGTTACAGTATTATTACATTGCATGATACATTATTTTTATATCAATCAAGACCTAGATATTTCATCAAGAAGTGTGAAACTTAGCCTGTTGGATTATTTATATCTCTTATCGTGAGTAAATTAACATGAACGCGTTTAAGGAAAAATTTTTTTTATAGATACTTATATAGATACTTATAATATATGTGTATATATGTATTGTTACGCCCGCACGTTTCGCATGGAGGACACATTAATCGCAATGAAATAAATGTGCAAAACAGTACAACGGGAATGAGAACTTTATTGAGAAATGA